AACCCTTGCACTTGCACTTGTCAGGGAAACGCTTATTCCACTGAGCCATCTCCCTGGCCCCTCCCAGACTGTTTTTATTCTGAGACTGTCTCACTCAGCTGCCTGAAAACCCCCTCGTATTGTGTGCTTGGAGCAGTGGTGGTGAACCTACGGCACACGTGTGGCAGCTGGTTCTTCATGGTCACTGAAAGCTCGAAGACATTCTCCATTGCTGGCATAGAGCATTTTGCTAAGGCCATCTTGTTGTGTTTTTCCTTTTACTGATCTGCCGGCCAGTTCATCCATTCATCCATCCATCCATTCACTCATTCCTTCATCAACAAGTTGGCCAGTGGGTTTGATCTGTCCAGTATAGGAATGAGCAGAACAGACAGGTGTGCTCAGACCTACAGGCTTATGAGCTGAATCCCTGAGTGGCAGGGTCTGTATCCCCCTCTATCGCCCTCCCCACCTTGACACAGGTGTCTCTGGGCAAACTGAAAGGGAACCTGATGCTGGGGGGATAGGCCTGGTGCCCAGAGGGAGGCAGGCAGGGGAGGGGCAAGGCTAGTGTCGGAGCCCGTGGGTGGCTGGGTGAGGGGGGCCCGTAGCTGCAACTTAATCCCCTGGTCAAACAGTAGCACTGAGAAGATGGCCTGAGGTCTCACCTTCAGAAGGGCCCAGTGGTGGCGGGATGTGCCCATGGGGCTTGCAAGTGCCCTGCTGGGCCTCAAGGGAGCTGCTTCCTCCTGTGGGGAAAGGGCGCCTGCGGCTCAGACAGCAGGCTCTAGCATCCTCTCCTTAAGCTGGAGGATGTGGTGAAAGGGATGTGGCTAAACTCTGGACTGAGAGTTTAGGGCAGCAGGGAGCTGGAGGGCCCCTGATGTTCCTCTCAGGCTTTTGGACATTCCCTCCTCTCCTTGCCTAGCCAGCTCCGGCTGACTGGTTTCTTGGGGACAGTGTCCCTCGAGCTGGTCCCAGCCTCCTCTTCATGCACACAGGGAAATTCAGGCCCCAGCATGCCCGCCTGTCTAGGTGGTGCTGCCCTGTTCCACCTGGGAGCAACACAGTAAGATGGACACACGTGTCCTGGGGGGAAGGTGACCCGTCAGGGCTCCCATGCACATTGTCCCTGCCCCATGGCTCACGCCAGTCAGCGCAGCCCAGGTCTGGGTGGGCAAACAATGCTTTCTCCCAGCCCCAGTCTTCCCCTCTCTTGTCACCTGTGTTTTCCTCCTCCTCACACAAGAATGTGTCAGGCAAACCTGGGCTTCTGTCCCACTCCATTGTTAACAACACCCCAGTTCCCCACCCTGGGCAGGCCTAGGCCTGTCCCATGGGGCTGGCCCACTGCCCCCTGCTGGAGTCCAAATACACCTGTTTACCTTTGGGCCTCTGCCCAGGATGTGGCTCCTGACGCAGCAGCCATCGTCCTTGTGTGCTTACAGGTGGGGGTGGGCAGCACTTCCCGCCAGCCCAGGCTGGCTTAGCTCTGTGGGGGGCCTAGTGCAGGGCAGGTGGGTTCCTGGGGGAACTTCCAAACCCAAGCGTCACTGGTCCCCAATGTGGCTTGTCCTACAGAACGGAAAGTGCCCTGGGCAGAGAGGCAGAAACTCCAAGGTCCTAGCTCCTGGCTTTTTTCTTCCCTCCTACCTGTCACCTTCCTGGATGTCCAGGGAGGCCAGGAAAGAGGCTTGGAGATGGAAGGTAGCTCATCCATCTGGGAAAGGGCCTCCCCTGACATCTGAGGATGGAGAGATTCAGGAACTCCACTGCAAAAGTGGAGTTTGGAGCACAGAGATGAAAGAGGGGCTGGGCATAGTGGTGCACACCTGTAATCTCAGCACTCGGGAAGCTGAGGCAGGAGGATTGTTGAGAGTTGGAGGCCAGCCTGGGCTACCTAGGGAGAGGAGCAGCCTGCTCAGAGAATTGCAGTCATGAGCTCAAGTTGAACAACTCAAAAGAACCAGGACACGCAGGCATAGTGGCACACATCCATCTTTGTAGTTGCTTGGGAACGTGAGGCAGAAGGGTTACAAGTTTGAACCCATTAGTGACTCCTAGTTTGGAAAGAAAAAAAAATACACACACACACACACACACACACACACACACACACACACACATTGGGCAGGAGATACAGCTACATGCAAAGGCCATGGGTTCAATATCCAGTTGTGGAAGACATTTTTGTGAAAAGGGAGCTGGCACAGTAGAGTGCCTGCTGAGCGTGTATAAGGCCCTGGTTTCCATCTCCAAACTGCCCGCAGCCCCACAAGATTCGGGCTGCGACAGCAAAGGTGTCACATGCTCTTGGACTGGCACACTGGCCCAGAGAGATCAGGGCCACCAGCACTGTTTGGTTGGACTCTGTGGATTGGATGAGATTATTGGGCCAATGACAAAGTCCTGCACCTGAGGACCCTGTAGCTATGTCCTGAATGAGGGAGCTATTCACTGAAGTATTCAGTATATTTAGTGTAATGTGTCATGCTTGCAACTTGAATTGCACACAGCATGTTTGGATTTGGATCACATTTGATCTCTAAATAAATAGGAAGGAAATCTACTTTTTCTTTCTTTTTTTAGCAAAACCCAGAATGCCAGGACAGGGAAGAGTGAAGAGCTGCACAGGCTGGAAGACTCGTGCTTTCCTCACCCCAGCAATGCTGCCTGCTTGCAATCATATATTTCTTTTTTTTTAACATTATTCTTTTTTTTTCTTTTAATTATTATTATTTTTTTAATATTTATTTATTTTGTGTCTGGCCAGCTCAGCCCACCAGGGGGCGGGGCTGGCTGGCCTGTGGTGCTGGGGGTTTGAACCGTGGTCCCTGTGCTTTGTTTAACTTAGCTTGTTCTAAGTAGGTGCTCTAGACCACTGAGCCATCTCACCAGCCCGCAATCATATATTTCTTATTGTAGCTTTTTTTTTTTTTTTGGCACCGGGGATTGAACTCAAGACCTTGAGCTTGCCAGGCAGGCGATTATTCTACTGAGCCATCTCCTCAGCCCAGGCTCTCACTACATAGCTCAGATTGGTACTGATCCTTCTGCTTTCAGCCTCCCCAGTGCTGGGATTATAGGTGCACACCACCATGCCTGGTCTAATGCTGCCTGTTGAAAGCACGGATCGTGCAAGCCCTTTCCCGAGCACCCCTGCCCTCTCAGCCAAGTGCATGTGTGTAAACCCAATCTTCTGGGAGTCTGAGGCAGGAGGATCACAACTAGTTGGAAGAATTTAGTGACTTAGTGAGACCTTCTCTCTAAATAAACATACAAAGAAAGGGCTGGGGATGTAGCTCGATGGGAAAGCCCTGGGCTCAATGCCCCATCCTGGGGTTGGGGAGCGATGCTAGACCCACCATAGATTCTGGTCTGATTGGTTCCTGGGCCCCAGCAGCAGGGCCTTCAGGAGGCCCTGGGTGAGTCTCAAAAGCAGACCTTGTTGCATTTGAGCAAGGGCCATACCTTGCTCTGCTTCTTTGGCCAGTGCTGCTCCAGGGAGTCACTGTACTGCCACTGACATTGCCCTTCGTCCTCCCAGCAGGGACCTGGTGCAGGCCGGGTTGCTTTGCTGTCCACTCAGGGTGTTCCAGCTTGGCTGGGGCTAGTGGAGGAGGCCGGCACCCTGGTGTGTCCCAGTGCTGTGGTGGGCAAAGAGGGTGAGCGACTCCAGTGGTGGAGAGAGAAGTGGTGTCAGGGCTGCAGCACTAGGCAGCCCTTTCTGTGTGCTGAGTGCAGGCATGGCTGGCATCTGGGTTCAGTAATCCCCCCTCCTGCCTGCCAGGTCCTGCAGTGTGTGTGCCCTTCTGGAATATTTGGAATAATTAGCAAGTGAAAGCAGCAAGTTAGCCAGGGGAATGGGCTGGCCCAAGGCCAAATTGAAGGACAAAGAAAGAAAGGGACCTGGGGGGCAGTGGGGCTGTGGGGGTTGGGTAGGACGGCCCTGGACAGTACCCATTTGTGCCCACATGTGAGAGTGTGAGCATACCCGCGCACACTGCAAGGATCTGTGCACCAGGAAGTGTGTATGTGGGGTCTAGTGGGGGCTGGGTAGGCAACAGATGCCAGGCAAACCTAGGGGTGAGGGGATTAAGAGGGGTCAGCAGAGCATCATGCACACATGTCCTGAGCCTCAGTTTCCCGTAATAGTCCAGTGGCAGCGTGAGGAGGGAGGATGGCCTGAACACTCCAGCTCTCTCCCTGGTGGCTTCCTCTTCTTGTCCCACTGGGCTGGGTTAGTTGAATTCACACCAGAGCGGGAAGGGAGCTCTCTGACCTCACACCCTGTCCCTCCAGGCAAGGACCAAGGGGAGGGAGATGCCCGAGACAGGCCCAGGCCAGGGATGCAGATGAGAGTGAGCGAGCCTGGGCAGGCTCTTGTGGGGGAGATGGCAGGAGTCCAAGCACACTGGGCCTCTTCAAATTCCAAGGCTACAGTGAGCATCTCCCCTTTGTCTCCTGCTCCTTGGGGCCCTGAGCACAGTTCTCCCCATTGCACAGATGAAGGTACTGAGGCCCAGGCTGCAAGAGGCTCCCAAGAGCTGCCTCTGGCTGCATCGTCTCCCAGTGTGATGGTGGGGACTTGGGCAGGGGGCCTTTTACAGAAATTCGCTGCCTCCCACCTTCCCCTAGCCATTCTCCTGTTGAGCAGAAAGTACTGCCTCCAAAACAAAAACCACTGGGCTTTCGCTTGTACCAAAGAAAGCTGCAAGGAGGTCCAGGTTTAGAATTTTAGAAATTTTATTCTTAAAAAATGTTTATTGTAAATAACTTTCAATGAAAAAGGTTAAATTGCCCCATGCAGAGGGATATGGGAGGCAGCCCCAGGGGTCAGGATAGCACAAGACCCGGTCCCCAAGTGTAGGCAGGGGAGTGGAGCTAACCCCTTCCTGGTCTGGGTGGTTCCAGCAAGCTCGGGTCCCTCCCAGTTAAGTGTTAACTAGAGCTACACTCACATTAGTCTACCCCTCTCCCCCCACCCCCCACAGTGTGGCTGCCCCTACCCAACCCCCCAATTTCCTGCTGCTCCCAGCCTCAAATCTGGCTTCAGATCAGGGATTTACATCCTTCGATTTTCTTTCCCATATAGATGGGGCTGGGCAGGCAAAGACCCCAGAGGCCCTGTAGAACAACTCTATGCCCCACCTTGCACCCCCATATCACTTCAGCCTTCTCTCCATGCCCCTCCCCCAGTTAGTTCTTTGTCAGTTCCGCCCTAGTTCATAGCCACTCTGGCCCTTAGGGATGCTCTGCCAGGGAGAAGCCTCCAGGGGGTTAATTTACTGTCACCTAATTAGCATTTGTTGTACCTGGGAACCTTGTCTGGATAGAGACCCAAGGAAGCAGGAGGGAGCGGGAGGGGCAGCTGGGCAGAGGGGGTGCATGGGAGGGCCCTGTTCTATTCTGCCCAGCCTGGCTGGGATTCCTCCAGGCCTCAGTGCTCATGGTGCAGGGCCCATTAGCCTATCCCTGGAGTGTGAACTTGGATCCATGAAACACTGTATATGTAGGGGACTGATGGGGGAAGGGGGAGGCAGCAGTTCTGGTCCTTGGCTCCCAGTTCTCAGCCTGTTGGTGTTGAATCTGAGGGTGACCTGGGCTGGCAGCAGTGTGGCTGTGTGAAGCCAGCCTCAGGAAACCTGGCCCAGCCCCTGCCTGTCCATGAGCCAGTGTTGGGGAGCAGTTCTGGGCCCTGACTTGGGCACTGTCTGGAGGCGGCACAAGGCCTGACCTCTTACAAGAAGGCACCCACGCTGGCCCAGTCCTGCAGGTCAGCGGCCAGGGTGGCATCCCCTGCCTCGAAGAGGGGCTCTGGGGGCAGGCAGCTGCTGCCGCTTTCGTCCCAGGGGTGCTGCAGGAAGGATGTGGCCAGGAAGGTCTCATCAAAGTCCAGGCTGTCAGCGGTGGTTTGCTCCACCGGAGGCCCCCAGGTAGCAGGGCAGTCGATGTGGCGGCCGTGGACAGTGAGGTCCACGTCTCCATGGGAGGCGGGGCTCAGCGGTGGGCTCAGCTCCAGGGCTTCCAGTGTGCTCAGCTCCCCGCCCAGAGTGCTGGCCTCAAAGATGGCCTCCCAGTCAAAGTTGCCTTTGAGGGGTTCCAGCTCGCCCTGCTCCTCCTGGGTCAGCAGCAGGGTGCTGGAGACCCGAGGGACCTTGGCTACCCGCTTTGGCAGCGACTGCTTGCGCTTACGCCCAAGCCTGCCCTCACCCATGCCCCAGCCTGCCTCCCCTGTGGCCTCCTCAAACTCCCTTAGCAGCTGCTGGGCCTCGGTGTTCACGGTCAGCGGCCTGGCCCAGGTGGCAGCCCTAGGCTCTTGCATAGCCTGGCGGGCAAAGGCAGGGTGGATGTGGACTGGGGGCAGCCGCCTCTTCTTGAAGGCCCCGCTTAGCAACCGCTCTGCATACTGGGGGTCAATGCGCCAGAAGCCCCCCTTGCCTGGTTCATCCTTCTCCCGGGGCACTTTGATGAAGCACTTGTTCAGGGACAGGTTGTGGCGGATGGAATTCTAGGCACAGGAAGAGAAAGAAAGAAAGAACAGCTAGGTCAGTGGGGATGGTGGGGATGGAGTGGCACCCAGGACTCCTGTGTACTCCCCCCATCTTCTCTCCACAACGGCAGGGAGAGGAGGGCGGACACTACTCTGACCAAGGCGGCTGCTGTGGACTCTGGGACACCAGCCATAGGGCACCAGGAACCTGGAGTGCTGTCGGGGGCTTTTGTTCTCTGTTGCCAGGATATCTGCCTGCTCAGTCATCCGAGCTCTGAGCCGCAGGGTGGCTCTCAGTGCCACCCCCATCCTCTGAACCTCCCTCCCTCACCCTGCTGTTTGCAGCCCTTGGCCAAGGCCCTTGGCTCCCCCACGGCCTGGACCGCCATCTCCCTCTGCCTGAGCCTGGTGAGCCCTCTGTTTGTAAAGTGAATGAGTAGGTCAATGCAGGGGGCTGGGCAACCTTGTGTGTGTGTGTGTGTGTGTGTGTGTGTGTGTGCACGTGTGCATGTGCACATGCACGTGCACTCACACAAGAACTCACATGTGTGTGTGTGTAGCTATGAGGGAATCTGGTGACTTCCCTTGTTTGTTGAGCCAGCTGCTGGCCTTGTCTTTCCAGCTCAGGCTCTGTTGATTATTACCTAGTCCAGAGTATATGGTGTGTTCTGGGCCCTGAGCTGCATAGGTCTAGGGTAGGGTGAGGGTGGGGGTTCCTGCCCTACTGTCCAGACCATTTGGAACGACTTGGGTCCTGTGATCCTGTGGCCTGCCCCCTTTGGGTTCTTCAGGGAAGAGTGACAGCCCTTAGGCCTCAATCTCCAACTAGCCCTGGATCTTGGGGTTTGAAGACTGCCTGGGCAATGTTTATCCATCCTCCACCTCTTATCTTCCTGCCTTGTTCACTTCTGGGTGCTTAGCTCTGTCCACATCATGCTAGGGGACAGGGGTCTAAGGTGGGGTGGCAGGCAGGTGGCTTGACAGTGCCTGGCAAAGATGGACTGTTTACATGGTGGCCTGGGCCTCTTGGCTGCTCTGTGCCAGTACTGGAGGCTAGGAACATGAAGACGGTGTAGAGGCAGAGCCCTTGTGGAAAGTACCTGACTCAGGTAATTGTCCCCCCAGGGAAGCTGGCAGGGAAGGGGGGAGTGAGGCAGGAAACTGGGGAGAGGTTGAGGTGGGGGGGTGAGACAGTAGTTTTAGGGAGGTCCCAGAGCCCCTTCACAGGGGCAACTCATCACATGCCTCAGCATCTGTTCTTGTGCCCCAAAAGGGCAAAAAATCTAGGATGCAGAGGCCAATAGGGAGGGGGCTGTTTCTGTCTTAGTCTAGCTTTGACTAACTATCCTCCAGTAGGAGGGTGTCTAGGAACTCCAGGACTTGGGACAAGAATGTGCTGTTAGCTCATCATCGCCCCAGGAGACCAGTCCACAGAGTCTAGACTTGGTCTTCAGGCTGGGTGGCTGGATGTGTGAATTCTCTCCCTTTAAACCTCAACATCTGGGCCCCTAAAGCCCTCTGTCCCTAGGACTGTCTCCCTCTTCCCTCTCTTAAAGTCAAGGGAGGGGCAGTTCTAAGAACTGAGCTCCTTTGAGGACCTCAAGGCTCTAGTCCCCTGGGGGCTCTGGCTGCACCCACTTGGCACTGCAGATCTATGATATGCATCCAGTGCAGTGTGGCGGGGAAGGACGTGGGGAGGGAGCGGCCATGACCGTGTCTCCCGTACCTGCCAGGTAGGATCAGCATGGCGGAAGTAGCAGAAGTTGTCCGTGATCCACTTGTAGATGGCCGACAGGGTGATCTTGGTGGCCTTGCTGGCCTGCATGGCCATGCAGATGAGTGTGGCATAGGAGTAGGGTGGCTTCACGTGCGGGTTGGTGGCGTAGTCTACGTCGTCCGGGGGCGGGGCCTGCAGCCCTGGGGGCGCACTCCGCGACGTGCATGAAGATGTGGGCTTGCCTGGCGTGTGAGGCTGCCCCAGGCAGGCGGGGTCTGCCGCCAGAGGCGACCCAGGTGCCACCAAACCTGGAACCTGGTGGTAGCCATGGGGGTCAGTGCCCCCCGGGGGAAGGGTAGGGGCCTTGGCGTTGAGAATGGAGAACTCCTGCAGCCACTGTAGGCTGGTCAGGCTGTCATCCAGGGCATCGGACTCCTCTAGCCCGCCCTCCAGCCCGGTCTCCTCTGCCAGCCCCGCTCCCGAGAGGCGCAGCCAGCTCTCAGCCATGTCTTCGGGGACTCTCCGAGGGGGCGGTCAACATCCACGGGTTGAACTGGGGTGCCCGCCGCGCTGCCGATCAGTTGGCTCCCGCGGCTCCAGTTACACGGCCTTGCGGATGCGTGCTTCCATCTCGCGACCCGAAGGTCGCTTCCTAATATGAACGCAGTGCCTACGGGAACCACAATGAGACCTGAGCACTCGACCTTCACTCCTACGAGGAGAGGGTTGTGTATGGCGAACCTCTTCCAAATTCCTCCCCAAGGCCAGTCGCTCTGTCTCCCTTCTCTCTTCGAGGTTTTATGGGCTGCACGAGGGAAGCGGATAGACCAGCCAGAGGACGAGCAAAGAAAGTAGGATATCCCCTTCTCTTGGGGAGCGGGAAGGCAGGACTCCTACCCCGCAACAAATGCAGACTGACCCGGAGCCAGGGAGGGCAGTACCGCGGGCCGGGTGGGAGGTCGTCGGATTTTGAGAAACTGTACCGGACCAGGATAAGGGGTGATGAGAAGAGAACTGGGTAGAGTTACGTGGGCAAAGGGTGAGTTCCTAGAAACTTCACTTGGCTGTCCCTGGACCACTACTTCCTTCGTCAGGCTGGCACAGGCGCCCCCCTTCCCGCGGGCCGAAGTACTTCCCTACCTTACCTGGCTCAGAGCGAAGCCTTGGACGTAGGAAGATTCTGGAAGAAGTTCCTCACACCGCCCGCGGCTCTTGGCTCCCAGTTCGAAGGCTGGCTAGCTTCTCATCGCCCCGCCACACTCGACGGAGCTTTTCTGAGTGCGGACGAGCCAGGAACTAACGTTAAGTAGCCGTTCCGAAGGCTTCGCCTGCTGCTATGGCGACGCTCCGCCCCCGTAAACAGCTTCCGCTGCTGCCATTGGCTAGCACGTCTCCAAGGAGACCGCGAGCTCTCGCTCACTTCTCCCGCGGCAGCTCTCTCCAAACTCCCTCCTTCTGCCTACCTCTCGCGCGCCGCCCAGGACCCTTACCCGCCACTGCGTCTTGGCCCCGCGCATTCCCGCCCGAGGGACCCGCGCTAAGGTGGTAGAGGCGCGCGACTCCCGCCCGAGGTCCCGGAAACCGCCGTCGGTCCTTGCGCTGCAGAACTGCCACTCCTGCCCCCATCCGAGTTGGGTCTGGCAGCTTGGGTGGCTCCAGGGACCGTACCGGGTTGGGGGGGGGGGGCGAGGATGGGAGCAAATTTAGGCCCGGGAACCGTACCCTGAGATTTTCTTTCTTTTCTTCTGGGCCGCGAGCAGCACTCTCTCATGTTTCTCCGGCCTTTCCCTTGCTTGAGACTCTAAGTGTCCTTTGTGGTTTCCGCAGGCGGGTCTGACTCTCCGATGCCACCTGCCGCTCACATCCACTGAAATGGCCTCATTGCTCGCAGACACAGCGGATAGGGTGCCCCAGTGTCTCCTGGTAAGCAGCTCCCTTCCCTCCCACCTTCACAGGGCTCCCAGAAGCTAACTTTCCAGAGGGTTCTGCAGGGATGCTCTCCCTTCCAGCCTGGGAAGCACAGCCATTGGGGGGCGGGGGTGGGGTGGGGAGAGGAAAATTCCACCGAGTTGCCAAATCCTGCTAGTGGAGTTATTTGACCCGTAAATTTCAGCATCCTTTAAGAGACAGGAACTAAGTCTAGAGAGGGACTGACTGTCCCTCCTCCCTTCCGTGGCCTCCCTCTCGTTACCACTTTCCTACTTTTTAATTATTGAGGAGCTGTAGCGTTGGAAGTTCTCCGGTTTAAAGGTGGCTGCAGAAGCTGGGGTCGGGCTGTGCCCAGGAGTGGAAGGCTGGGCCAGAGGCCTCCTGCTAAGGCCACACAGAAGTCCAGGAACATGCATTTTCCTCCCCCTTGTCTCACCTGCTCCTCCACCTCCAGATCCTCTTGAGTAAAAATATTAAAGTGGTCTTAAGAAGCATTCATATATCAGTCCACTTTGGGGTTAATAGTTCTCCTTCCCTTGTAAACAATTTTATTCATTTTAAAGAATCATGCAGCAATCCATACATATTGTATCCTTAGTATCCTCACTGTAGTGTGCTCGCACTGTACTCCACAGTGAGGGTGTACACAGGTGGCACCAACAGTATACACACTCACTCTTGCACACACCAGGTGCGCAGGCCCTAGGTCAGGGTGAGCAGCCAGCATGTCAACACCAGGTAGACAGAGTCTATCTCCCCAGTGAGACGATTTCCGGGGCTTGGATCTGTGCCCAGAAGATTCCCCAGTGGTGTCTAAACTCTGGTGGGATGGTACTAGATAGAAGGCAAAAAGGCTCTGTGAGGAAACGAGGATCACAAGTGCAGCCCAGGCCAGGGAAAAGTGCAGACCTAGTGTGGCTGTTACAGCCACAGGTACCCCCAGTTAGTTTGTGTGCCCTCCTGAAGCCTCCACCTGAACGCTCAGGGCAAATGCTGTCTTCGGGTGATAAACTGAGGCAGGGGGTGGCAGCTGACCTGTTCCTGCTCATGCTGATGGAGACTCATGCCCTTGGATGGGCTGCTTCTGCCTGCCAATAGCTAAATGGGGGAGGGGGCACTGAGCAACTCAAAGGAAAGGGCACTCTAACCTACGTGTGTCTCCACTGGGGATCCGAGGCCTGCTTGGGAGAGGACAGAGCACTGTGAGGAAGGAAGGACAGGGATCCTTTGGGAAGGGTGGAGAGCGACTGCTGCTTCTGCAGCTAGTGGCCTGAGGCTACTGTTTACCTGCCTTTCCTTCATCTCAGCTACTTCCTCCATCCTCCCAGGTTACATTGCACTGTGAATACTGCCTGCCGAGAGAGGAGGAGGGTTTGTGTGCCACCACCCCAGGCTAAGGGAAGCTCCCTGGTGCTTCTGGGGTTCACACTTCAAGGAAATCAGGAAGTGGGGTTATTGCTCAACTTATACTGGTTTAGTGTTAAATATGAAAAGGGCTGTCAGAATGCCAAAAGAGGACGGGACATTACACGGGCTAAGGAATGGCACAGTCCACTGCCGTGTTCAGAGGTGGTGGCCACAGGAGCTTACAGCTTGGCCAAGCTGACTGATTCAAGCAGTGCAGCAGATACTCCTCCAGCAGAACAGAGCATGAGCCATAACCACCAGGCAGTGTGATAGTCACCACTCCTGGCCTCTGCAGCTACACAAAGGATCCCTTGTACACTTTTTTTTTCTTGTGATGGTGGTAGTTCTGGGGATCCATCCCAAGAGCACTCTACCATTGAGCTACATCCCCAGACAGGGTCTTAGTACATTACCCAGGCTGGCCTTGAACATGCAGTCTTCTTGCCTCTGCCTCCCAGAGAGCTGGGATTACAGGCCTGAACCATCACGCCTGACACACTGAGCTCTTTTTCTAGCAAGCTCTTCTAGTGTAACAACTACAAATTCCTTTTTTTTTTTTTTTTTTTTTTTTTTTTTTTGCGGTACCGGGGATTGAACTCAGGACCTTGCGATTGCCAAGCAAACGCTTATTCTAATGAGCTATCTCCCTGGCCCCTACAAATCCTAATACAGTGGGCACAGTCTAAAGCTCTCACAAGTAATTGCTGCTAATGGCTTTTCAGACACCTCATGCCTCACTAAACCACCTTTTCCAAAAGCCACTGAAGAACAACTCCCAGCCAGCCTTGCTGCTGTAGGCTTCATCTGTATAGTGCTTGGAAGGCTCCTCCTTCCCCTCTCACTCCCAGCAGAGCTTGAAAGGAGGGGAAGAAAACAGAGCAGGAGGAGGCCTCAAGGTGAAAGTCCTGTGGTTCCCCAGGCCACACTACTTTTGGCCCCGTACTACTTCCTGAACTTACACAGCTCAGGGCTCCCCACACTTCCCTTGGTGCTTCTGGGCACCAGTTTAAGAACTGCTTGTTCACACTTCTCTTAGCCCATTTCTTCCACTTGTAAAGAAGGGATGGAGGTGGGGGCATAAAGATTAGACTCCCCCACAGGGCTGTAATAAAGAAATATACAATAGCCCTAGCACTGTGTACATAGCGGTGGTCCACAAATGCTCTTGCAGTGCTGCCTCTGGATGGAATCCCAGGCCTTTGTAACGCTACGTGGCCAGGAAAAGGCCTCTAGACGGGCGCTGTCCTAACTGGGGTCTTGGATTCAGTGCTTTTTTTTTTTTTTTTTTTTTAAAGCACATAGACCCATGCGAGAGGGAGACAAGATCTGTTCCAGAAGGAAGAACCAGCTTTTCAACCAGCCTTTTGGTTACCACCATCTTCCTCATCTTTGAGAATAGAGTTCTTAATGCTTTAGGAAGGAAACTCCACCCCAGCACAAGACTACCCCCTCTTCTCACGAGTCATCTGATCACCCCAAATTGGAGGTTTCAAATTGGTTATGAGGTGACAGAGACCAGAAATTGTCAGATGGGTGTTGGTAACAAAACTGCTAAAACTTGAGTCTTTTTGGTCTACCCCCTAAGGAAAAAAATGCAGAAGAAACAATTAGCCCCTGGCCCTCAGCTCCACCTGCCCACGAGGGCAGCAGACACAGTCCCGATTTTCTGTGGAGAGTCTCACAAGCTGTAGTTCAGTGGCATCAGCCCATGAGGACAGAGGACTCTGGTCCCTTTGAGGAGAAGGGTCAAGGTTACAGGAGACCAGGTTGGGAGACAGCAGGTTAAACTCAACATCCAACTTTCATGTGAGTATGCAAAGTCTACAGGCATCCTGCTGCAGATGTTGGGAGGCCAGTGGTCCAGTGAGGACAGACGGAATACAAGGACAGGAAGGGCGCCTGGGGAGAAGGGCAGGCACTTTCAGACAGCCAGAGGACCCCATACGCAGGACCTGTCCTCGGGGTCCTCCAGGCTGCTGGATGATAAGCGCCTGCGCTGAGTGTTCCGGTGACTGACAATGTTGTCATCACCCTGCCAGATACCTGGAGGAGAGGAAATGAAGGTTACAGGAGCCAGACCTTGAGGAATGTTCACTTGGTGTATCCAGGAGGACAGCTGGGAGCTTGACACAGATGCTAGCAGGATTCATGTGATCTGAGACTCCTGAGTGTGCAAGCCACAGTGCACGAGACGAAGAACAGGAGAAGCAGGTGTCAACATGTGCAGGGGCTGCTCCTGCCCCTGGGCTAGGTAGTCACTGCCACTGTGGTCAATAGACAGAGAGGGACAGGACAGGGATAGTTTGTGATCTTACACTAGCGTCTACTTTTGTATTTGAATTATTTGGTTCTGGAGTCCACCCATGTTATAGTTGACAAGGAAAAAGAAACTCGGCCTCACTGAGCTACTTCCTCCAGGGCAGACAGAAGTGGGCAGGGGTGAGAAACATGTGGATTTTGCCCAAGCCCTCAGTGTTTGCTGTGGGAGCCAGAGGGAAGGAAGAGGCTGGCCAGCTGGCAGAGTTGGCGAGTCACTTTCCTTTGATCCTGGGCTTTCTTAGACATCTCACAGAGGGCAAGAACTTCCCTCATGCGTGTGCAAAGGAGCCAGGGGTTCAAGGATAGAAAACATCTCGTGGGAGGACAATGTGATGCTCTGTTGCCCCTCCCCCCATGGCTTTTCTTCTCCTCCTGCATCCCAGAGCAGATACTGGTGCCATTAAGCAGGACATCCTAGCCTGAGAACCTTGGGCTTGTATAACGTGGTTTGTCCCATGGACCCTGTGGCCACCCTTCCCAATCCATCTTTCAGCTGGATGAGACCCAGAGTTTTCCCCAACAGCCTGATCCCCATTTCTCTCCTTGCACTGTGGAAACTCTGGGCCTTTTCACTCCTCTGGCAGACACAGCTCCTCCAGGTTGAGGGCCTGGCACATTTCCTGCTATCCCTCAGAGCCCAGCAGGGCACCTTGCCCATCACAGGACTCCTCTGGGGGATGAGGCTGGTCAACTTTAGAGTGTTGTCCTGAGGCCATTTACATGTGACCGGGGTCATCCTGAGATTCAACCAAGACCCAAAATCCTTGAATGACAGAAGCACTGAGATGGAACAGGTACTAACTGGCATGCTGGCATGGTAATCTGTCCTGAGTGTTGGAACCTACTTCCTCCAGGGCAGACAGAAGGACCATGGTAATGGTCTGGGTGTTGGAACCCAGGGCAGGGAAGGAGTTATCAGGCAGGACTCCATGTCTTTCACATAAACTGCCAGTGGGGACTCCATTCCCTGAGACATGAGTCCGAAGTGCTCCTTCCCCTCTGAGGATGGTACTCCAAAGTGTGGCAAGTGGAGTATCAGGAAATGCTCATACTGGGGTAGAAACCCCAAATAAAATGAGTTGTTTCTTCATTTATATAATTTGGTAGATGTCATACCTATTCCTCAATGTTTATGGGGCAGGACTCCGGAACTGCGGCTGTTCAGTAGGAAAGACCAAAAGCAAATGGTAAACAAGAGAGAAGACACATGTGCACATACAAATAAAAACAGCAGCACCACCATCGCCTCCACCACTGCAACACACCGTGCCCAGACGCTGGGTCTGAGAGGCTTCCTAGGAGGGCTGTCCAGACCGACCTCACAGGAGCCCTAGTACAAGCTGTACCATTCTAGGAGTCTCAGCTAGGGCTATACACAAACACCAGTGGAAGGGACTGACTCTGAAGGGCAGTCTGTACTGAGGGGAGATCTGGAAGGAGAGAGAGGCGCCCTCTGAGGAGGAGCTGAAGGGTCCACAGCCTACTCCACTGGTGCCCTTCTAAGCTCCCTTTGAAGGTTGCCTCTGAGTCAGGCTCCTGGGCCCTCCAGCCAGAAAATGGAGCTTGGTGACTTGAAATCCCTCCAGAGAGATGGACAAAAGAATTTTGCATCCAGTTCTATTGAGGAGCCAGAAATGGAAGAATGAGGAGACCTCTGGGGGCAGATTTCAGGAGCACTATTAGGGAGATCTGGCATGCCCTTTGCCTGGCTCTCCAACACAGCTA